GTTGAAAAATGGGTTCGTTATATGATTACTCTAGGGGCAGTATATTTTCCCCTTCATATGACATGCTGGATGAACATTTTGATGATGCAGGAATTGTAAATGCTGATGTAAATAGTGAAGAAATTTAGAAAGCTGATTTGTTTCCATTTCCTGTTCCTGTGTAATTTGAGAGTTGATTTACTGCTCATATAGTTCACAAATACAAGGAAAATAGTTGTTCTGATAGCCTTCTGAACTTAGGGTCATCTGCTGTGCCCATAGCCATCTCCCCTACCTTTGAATGTATAAATTTACCTGTCAGCTATTACTTCAGTACCATCTACAACATAGTTTTTCAAGACTGCATGTTGTGACCCTGTGGTGGGTTGGGAAAGTACTGTAGCATTTTTGAAAAGTTAAATACAGTAGAAAAATAAGAGTATCATATATAGTAAGAGTTAAATATTATGTTGTGAAATTTTAATTATATGTTGTTGAGGAGGAAAATTTCTTTTTTCTACCACTCTCCTAGTTCTCTGACTGTGGCCCTATGAATTGGACTGACAAAAGACAGATTGATAAGAGAAAAAAAGTTTATGCATACACACGGGGGAGCACTCAGGGATGAGTGGCTCCAGGGTTGGTTAGAACTTGGGCTTATATAGCATTGTAGCAAAGGAACAATAAATTTTCAGAGAAGTGACAAGACAAAGGAAAAGGACTTTGAGGAAAAGGCACTACAAACTGTGGGAAGGCAAATATATGGGAAACTATGGGAAACTAATGGTGGATAAAGGCAAGTTAGTAACCTATTATGTAGGTTCCCCTGGTACCATCATCAGGCTGATAAGGGTTTAAAGTTGAGATTAATTTTTGTCCTTCCTGGTAAAGGAGGAAGCAGGGACACTTCTGTAAATTTCTGTTCTGCTTTTAGGCAAATAGGGAGAAGGCAAAGAGCTTTCCTTCTTTCTGCTTCTTCTCAATTGTTCTCAGCTAAAAATAGTCTATAAGGACTATAGTAGTCCTTATGGACACTTAAGCGACATGTTTTGAGGTGGTGTATTTTGTCCTCTACAATATCTGTGCATGCGTGTGCTAGGTTATGATGTAAAAGCATATTTCTTGCTGTGGATTACAAGGGAAAAAATCACAGCCACTGACTCCAATAAATTACAAAAGCAGTATGAGCTGCATGTTTTACAGTTCTTGAAACAAACTGAGATTTTATTTATTGACTTTGGGAAGAAATAAATTTATTTCAGTTTTTAATTAGAAAATTTTGGCTTCATATATATCATGAGGTAATTTTAGAATGCATTTTGAAAATTTATAGGACATTCTAATAGAATTAGTATTGGATTTGGGAACATTCTTGAATTGTAATTGTTTCATTAAAGATCATTGTTTACATGCTCAATGATGTGTTAGTATCAACAATCTCTCAATAATGAGATTCCTCTATTTCAGAAATGTTGGTTTGATGAAAGGCAAGTAAAATTGAGTATATCTGAGTATATTTTGGTATCATATATTAACAAGTTGAGTTAATTTTGTTATTAACTAATTAGAAACTGCTTACATCACAGTTTTGGAACTTTTCCTTCCTCTACAAAAAGTCAACATTTCAAAATAGATTCAAGCTTCTCACATGGAATTTTTGAGTTCATTTATTTGAGACAGGCATCTAGTTGACAAATTTTAATTTTATATTAAATATTTAAGACTAATTCTAGTATAATTTATTTCAGATTAAATTTAGTGGAAGCTTTTGTAGAAGATGCAGAATTGAGGCAGAGTTTACAAGAAGATTTACTTCGTCGATTTCCAGATCTTAACCGACTTGCCAAGAAATTTCAAAGACAGGCTGCAAACTTACAAGATTGTTATCGACTCTATCAGGGTATAAATCAACTCCCTAATGTTATTCAGGCTCTGGAAAAATATGAAGGTAACAATGATTTTGTTTTTGTTTTCGTTCACTCTCAGTATACTTGGCAAATGTACTGTCCTTAGAAAGTTGGTTTGGTGACTTTTTTTTTATTTGCAATATAGTCAGTTTACAATGTAGTGTTAATTTCTGATATACAGCATAGTGATTTAGTTATACATATATGTTCCTTTTCATATTCTTTTTCATTATAGGCTATTACAAGGTGTTGAGTATAGTTAGTTCCCTGTGCTTTACACTGGGACCTTGCTGTTTTGGTGACTCTTCTTTAAGTTTTTCTAGTAACAGGTTTGGATTGACCTCTAGCTGCATGGCAGAAGCCAGGAGTCATGAGATAGTTTACAGTTTTTGCTTTTCAGAAATGAGTGTTGGGTTACTGGGTCTATTAATACGTCTATTGCACTAACAGTGGCAGTTGAACAGAGTTTGATTGCTGAAGAAGACTCACAGGACCCAAAATGACATTGCTTATAAAAGTATGGTTTATTATAGAAAAAGGATACAGTTTAGCAGCAGCACTAAAAAGTAAGGATAATGCATCACAGCCAAAAGCTGTCACAGTAAGTGGGCCAGGGAGATCAGATACAGGTTCCTGCTGAAAGGTCCTTGTTGAGGTTCACTTACTCAGGTCAAGGACCGCTAATGTGTGTAGAACACCTTGGACCCAGGAAGCCTAAAACAGTCTTGCTGGGCTTTTTAATATTTTGCTGATCTTATGGGTGTATTCCTGTTCTGTAACTAACTTCTATAGCAGAGTCCCCTTGGGGCCTCCCTGAGACCAGGGAATCATCAATCACAAACAGTGCTGCTGGTAAGCTGAATGAGCCACCTTGAGTCTCCTCAGACTAGCCATTACACAATAACACAATTGGTATGTTTCATGTCTTGACCAGGGGTCATTGTCATGCAGGGACTTTAAGAAAACAGTGCAGGCTAATTCCGGACCTGCTGGAATTAACCTTTCCAGCCCACCTATGAAAGATAGTTAAGATGAAGGGTGTTGATGCTAACAGTTGAAGTCAGCGTGAAGTTACCAGAGTGAAGTAAGCAAAGTCACATATTAGTTAATCAACATTGTATTGATGGATAAAATCAACTTTCCCTTACAAGCATAGCTTTTAGCTCTAAGTGAACATAAGGTTTCTATAACAAGTATTTTAGTAACTATAAAGTTATATGTCTAATACATAACATAACAAAATATAAATGATGTTGAGCATCTTTTCATGTACCTCTCTTGAGTTTAAAAAAAAAAACACAGAATGGCAGTTTTCAGAGTTCAGCATAGCTTGTTAGCCTACTGATTTCATGGAGAAAGCCAAAACTAAGACTAATTTATTGAAGAAAAACCAAATGCACTGTCTTTAAAATCATAAAATCATTAAAAGTTTAAAAAAATTTATTGGTATATTGCTGGGAATTGAATATGAGCTGCCATTTTGTGATGTTTTTAGCTTTGATTAACATTTTAATGTTATTCCTGGGAAAAATGAAAATAAAGTAAATTCAGAGACAGCAGAGGGCAGCAACAGTATAGAAAGTAGATTTGCATTCAGTAATTAAACACTCTAGTTTAAATCTTTCTCCTGTAAGAAAAACCTATTTGAAAAATAGACTTTTGGCCTCCCCTATTCCTCATGTCTTTTAAAATGAAAAATTTGAGGCAAACCCTAAAACAACAGTATTCTGCATTTTGGGCAAATTTCTGATAGTGCTTAAAACAATTCCTCTAAGAATCCAGATTATTTTATTGTAACAGCTGTCATACTGAGGTGTGTAACTATTCCTTCTTCCCATATCCAAATTATCATCCGTTTCTGTTTTAATTTATTTAAAAACCTTTCATGCGCTATTTTCCCTCTCCTAGTCTGTGCATCCTCTGCAGTGAACCCATAGTAATCTTTCTTAGCAAATTTGATCATGTCATTTCCTCCCCTTCAGTTCTGAACACATTAATTTGCTTCCCATAACCTACCAGAAGATGCCTCATTCCTGGGCATGGCCTGCCCACTGCTTCTCAGTCAGCCTCCCTTACACTCCCTCACCTGCCCTTCTCTTCACTACACCAGCTCCCATGTCCAGACTGCTCTCTGCTCTTTTATACTTCTGTCCTTGTTTCCCCTTATTCTTAAATACCCTTTACTGCCTTGTCCACATGATGAACCCCTACTAATGTTTTTAAGATTGAGCTCAAATGTCACCCTTTCTGTGAAGCCGCCTCTGCCCTCTCCATGCAGTTAGATGTTTCCTTCTCTGATTTCCATTGTACCTTGTGCTTATCTCTGTTGCTCTTTAAATAGCGTAAAAATACATAGTAAGTTAGTCTAAAAATAATCAGCTTTTTTTAACCTGATTGCTTAGTTACTTTCTAAATGGAAGATAAGAATATAAAACCAATTTATTTGCCATTTCTGAAAACGAATCTGCTTTACTAATGTAGCACTTTTTAAACATTAGCCAACAAAGCTACACGATCTGGTTGGATTTTATATTATGGAGATATTTTCTTTAAATTTCATCTTTATCCATTTATAAAAGCAAGGTAAATTCTTTGTAGTAATTCTGCCATCCAGAGGTAATAATTACTAATGTTTTGGTATATGTTGTTTCAGTCTTTAAACAAGATTATATACTGTCTGTTTTGCTTTAACATTTGCTTTGACAATGAAGACTTGTTCCAGTGTGGTTCATATATTAGGGAACAGTTTGAGCATAATGTGCATTTTATGTTGCTTGTGCACATTTTGTTCATGAGAATCACTAAGTGAATACAGAAAATTGCACCCAGCTGAACTGAACAGTGTAGCAATACACAAAATGTACACAGATACACACACACGTACCTCAGACATCTGCTGTGACCCCAGTTCACTGTGGTGTTAGGAACCACTCTCATTCACATCTGGTGTTACAACTTTGCACTCCATTTCAGACAACTCTCACCATTTCACAGTAACTCAGAAGCTGTAACCCATTGGAAATCCATCTCCACAAGCAAACTTCACATCTTTTGCAAGATAAAAGTGCATTATTTGTTGTAGTATTTATGTATTTCCTATCCATTTAATTTAACATATATAAAACTGTACAACTGTTTTATTAGGCTCCTATCCATTAAAATTTTTTTTATCAATTTTTATTTCATTTTTAATTGAAGTATAGTTGATTTACAATATTATGTTAATTTCAGGTGTATATCCTATTCTTTTTTTTAATGTGTCACTGATCACAGTTTCTGAGTGTTACGCCTGGACCCCTTCTGTCTCATAAACTGATTTTTATTGCACAGTACTGCATAGTGCTGTGATTTTTATTGCACAGTGCTGTGATTTTTTGAGGGGGAATGCATATGTTGCATTATAACAGAATGGGCTATTTGCAACAATGTAGTATGTATTGGTGGGATAAAAATGTACTAATTGTACATTTAATAAAAATAGTACTAATTGTACAGTAGTACTGTTACAAATATTAAAATCTTTATAAATCTTCACAAATATTAAAAATCTTTACAATGTATAATTTATTTTTAGCTAGCATCTATTGTTATTTTAAAGTTCCAAGAAATTATTATGCATAAACTTTTAAAGGTTTGTGTACCTCTCTGGTTTTTTGATTTTGTGATTTTTCTATTAATAAATTCCTAAAACTAGAATTTCTGGGCCAGGCTGTGCATTTTTTTTTTTAATGGTAACAGTCATAATGTAAAAATGTCAACTCACAGTCTAACTCTAGAAGAGAAACCACTGCTAATTTTTTTTTTTAAATCCTTCCAGACTTTTGCCCTCTTGTCTGCATTTTAATGACAAATAATTATGTATTGACAAATAACTTCTCCAGGAAGGTTTTACTAATTTACAGTTCTAGCCACAAGATGTACAAGAACATTTCTTTGCATCCTCACCAACACTGTTTCTTTTTATTGTGGTGATCAGTTAGTACATTTTAGTGGTGAGTTGGTATATTTTGTTGGCAGTGTTTAGTGGGATTTGGGTGCAAGGTCATTTGATTGGAAGGATAGAGATGCAGAGATAATATGACCGTTGACCCTGGAATATAATTGTAATGTGAAAGCTTTTATCATTGAAGATAAGATTGAAGATAGTGAAGAAAGTAGTAATGGGAAGAGAGGAAAGAAGACATTTAAATTACACTCTATCAAAAGATAAGATGAGAAAATTGCTGATAAGAGGTGATGTGTGAGAGGAAGGAAAAATAATCTTAGGAGGTTGGGGCTGTAAAGGAAAACTGTTTCCCACCTGTCTTCTTTCTTCCTATGAGTCTTTCTCCTGTGTGTTTCCTTTACTATTCATGGGAACATTTTACTTTGGTCACTAAATGTGTGGAAGTTTTCCCCCATGCCAAGGGATTTTCTGTGACACTAACTGGGTGTTCTACAGTTTATCTCAATTCTGACACTATCTACCTGGAGATAGCATCAGATCCCCCAGGTTAAGGGCTCAGTACCAGAAGATTGGCACCCTCCAACCTCCCCACCCACCAGACACACACTTAAGATACTAGTCTCAAGCCCAGGTTGTCACCTGTGCTTCTGCCCAACTGCTTATAGACGAGGTCCCAATGACCCCCTCCTTGGGTTTAATTAATTTGCTAAAGCAGTTCATGGAACTCAGGGAAACACTTACTTACACATTGCCAATTTATTCATAAAGGATACAGATGAACAGCCCGATGAAGAGATAACTAGGACAAGCCTGGGAGAGTCTTGAGCACGGGAGTTTCTGTCCTGTGGAGTTGGGGTGTGTCACCCAACTGGTGTGGATGTATTTGCTCCCTGAAAACTCCCCCCACAACTACTGGGATTTTATGGGCTCTTCCTCACATAAGCTTGGTCAAGTATTAACTCCATTTTGAGCCCCTCTCCCCTCCTTGGAGAATGGGGTGTGGAGCTGAAAATTTCTAGCTCCTCCTAATCATGGCTTGGTCTTTCAGGTGACCAGCCTGTATCCAGGAGCTATTCAGGAGCCCACCTTGGATCACCTTCTTAGAACAAAAGATGCTCCTAGTGCTCGTAGCATTCAGGAGCTCTGTGTCAGAAACCCAGGGCAGAGGCTGGTATATATTTTTTATTCTCGCAGAGGACTAGTATGAGTGTAAAATGATACTTATAAATAATCACGGAAATTAGAAGGAAAAGTCTGTGTAGGAGAAAGAAAAGTACTGTTTTGTCAAAACAACAATAGTAATAAAAGAAAACAAGAGGTGTTGTCGGAGAAAGTATTACTTGCAAATAAAGAACTGGGACAAGTGGCTGTGCTTAACAAAAGGGATGGTGTGACCAGAGAATCTGACAAGAGAAGGTGAGTAAAGGGAGAGGGCAAGGATGATGTGGGAGGATAAGAGGCGAAAACTATAGGGTGGCTGACTTCAGTGAGGGAATAATGGAGGTGGCTTTGTGTTGAAGATCGTTATTCAGAGCGATTAAATTATTTTGACATTTTGCCATGATTCACCTGCACTTCTGTTGTTGGCTTCTTTGCTAATTTAGTGATTTGTTGGCTCCAGCCTCATATTTGTGTGAGTACTATAAACTTTCAGTAACAGCATCTTGCCAGCCTTTCTTCCACTTACATGGGTTTTAAAATCCATTTTATAAGTATGTGTATAAAGGGTCATGATTAAGTTTAATTGTACTTAATAAAACTTCTAGATTGGAATTAATAATATAAGGAAATTATGTTAAATTAGTCAAGGGAATATGGGCATAGAATAAATTTTTAAATCTTTGCTAATTGAAACTCATGTCTTTATTACCGTTTACCAAAATATCTAATAGAACAAGAGTGTTAATATTAACTTTATAATTAATTTAGTCCTTAGTTTGATTTTCCCAGTCACAGACTATTTGGAAGGTCTGATTGAGCAGATTTGTGACTAGTGCAGGCCTTGGACCTGAGTTAGTGTCAGGAGGACACTTACAGGGAGCTGCCTCGCATCTTTCATCCAGAACTATCCTATAGTTCATTTTGATTTTCCTGTTAATTGCTCATTTAACCTGATTAGAAAGTCTTACTGTCTTTTTCTTAATTATTTGCCAGCCATTTTCAGTTACTTCTCAGTTATATTAAATAAAATATAAATGATTTGAGAGAAGAGACATTTATCAATAATTTAGGTGCCGTTTTACCAGCAGTCTCAACTTTGCCAGACACAGGTCTAGGAAAGGCTTCTTGTGGTGGGGAGTTGGGGACCTGTGGCATGTTGGTGCCCTCCTGTGGGGGATAAGACCAGACATGGCAAGCACAGATGCCAAAAGAAGTCTGGTAGTTTACAGATAAATGAGGCAGAATGGTAGCTGATATTCTGGTGAGCTTGGGAAGTCATGGTCTGACTAATAAAGTGGACTACTGCTGGTCAGACCACCTGCCACTGAATGGGAGTTCTGACTGAGGATTTCCCATATGAGCCTATGTTTCAATGTCTACTCGGAATTCCTCTCTCCAAACTCTTCTTTAGGTGTTCTCTATCTCAATAAAGACTCCATCATCTATACCCAATTGCCTTGGGAATCAGCCTTGACTCTTGGCTCTTCCTCACTGCATTCACTCAGTCACCAAGTCCTCTTGGCATCACATAGTATGTATTCGTCTCCTTGGACTCCTTTCCATCCTCTTTGCTAGCACCCTAGTTCAGGCTGTAATCATTTCTTACCTGAACTATTGTCAGCCTCCTAATGCTCTTGCTGTCTCTTGACTTGGCTCCCTCTAATTCATTCTCTTTGCTTCAGTCAACTGTCTTTCTAAGTATATAAACATATTTATAAATAAGAATATAAATGTGTCATTAACCCTTCAGGGGTTTTTCACTGCCTTTAGGGTTAAAGTGTAAACTTGTTTAAAAAGTATCCTTTCTCTCCTAGTACCAGTGTTTCTCAGATTTTTTAACCACGACCCACAGTAAGATAAACATTTTCATTTGACTCAGTGCATATCCATGGGTGTGTTTATGTACTGTTAAAAAACAAAATTCAACTGAGTGAATTTTAAAGATCTTATGGCTGCCCAATTCATGAATTGGGCAGCATCCCTCCAGGAGATGGAAAGGAACTCTAGAGCTGTACAAAGTGAAACTTTCGTAGGCAATTGTGGATAGAAACAAGGAAATTATCCTTGACAAAAAAAGTAGGTTGATTATTGCAAGGTTACTTTCCTTTAGGGGATGGCAGGGGTCTATTAGGCAGATTATCTGACTGGTGCTGATCAGGCAATTCCTGATTGACCAGTTTAAGATTTCATTTCTGGGAGAGCTGAAACTAATTAGGGTAAGCCTCAGTTTGATGACATGGAACTTGACATAAGTGCCTCCATTTTGGGCCTGTTGTCTTATTTTTAACAATATGTAGACACTGTACACATAAAAACTGTAAATAGTGTAAATATATATACAAATTATAGATAATATAAACTGAAATAATGTGTAAAACTGAAACTACACTACAGTGTACTTTGGCATTTTCTATTTTATTTCATTAAAAAATGCCAAGATTTACTGAGTTAACTTTATGATGGAGAAAGGTCTATAATTTGAAAAAACATACTGCATTTGTTTTTTACATCTGTTCAAGTAAACTTGAACATCCACCAGATCTTACATATACTGTACAGTCCATGGCCTTGGTATGTGCTGTGCCTTTAGATGGAGACATTTATCCCTTCCTGTCTCACCTGGCTTTGTTCTCATCTTTGGATTTTCACCCTAAAAGTCATTCCTTCGGGAAAGCCTGCCTTGTTCCTGCATTTGGGTACACCCCTGCCCTAGTTATGTGTTTCCAAAGCTGCCGGTATTTCTCTATCATTATACTTGCCACGCTTCTTTGTAATTAGTTGTATAATGGCGGTGTCACCTCTCCATCCCCAAGAGCATAGAGTTTGTGCCTGAGGAATGAGTATTCCAGCTCAGCTTCTGACATGTAGTAGGTCTTCAGTAACTTCTTTTGGGAGAATCAGAAGATGCTACTTAATGTAGGAGGGAGAGTGTGAATTAACATGCCAGGAATGAAACTGACAATTAAGCAGTATAAAACTGGAAAGTACTGGAAAGTAATAATGAAAAGCTGTGCCAGGAGTTCAAGGTGCTTTGTCTTGCTGTTGCTATTTAAGAGATCCTGGAGGCCTGCAGTTTTCTTTATTTTACTTTAGTCTCTGTAGTGATAAAAATATATTAACAAAAGTTGATCAATTCATTACTTACATCATAACAAGGGGCTAGTATCCGGAGGCTGTTAGGGAAGAAAGGGAGAAGCAGAAACAGCAAGGATGTCCACCTGGAGTGCTTACTGTGTTCCTGATGCTGCTAGTTGCCGAGGCTGTTACGGTAGGGCACAAAAACAGTCTTGTCTCTGCCCTTGTTGCATGTGAGGGAAACAGACATTAGACAGGTGGTAATCACACAAAAATATAATTGTGATAGGTGTCATAAAAAGAAAATTCTAAAGTAGTATATCAAGAAAGGGCAACATTTTATCTTGGGGCAGTACGCATGCCAAAGTAGTTTTCATTGGTGTTTTTGTGACTTGAAAATTAACTTTTTTAAATTCACTAAGGGTACTCTCTTTTCAATCTATGATTAAGTGGCATGAACATAGATAAGACGGAGAAAACAAGTCCCAGAATTAGTGTTGATACACTTAGAAGGTGGCTTGGGCATCATTCCAGGAGTGTATCTTAATGAACTACTTACTCAACAGACTTATGGGCTTTCATTTTATCCTGAAATTTGTTACAATTTTTATCATAGTAAATGATGATGAAATGTTTGATGGTGATTAAATTATACTTTAGACTGTATAGAAATGTAAGTTCTTGTGCTTATTGAGTGGTTTCTGAGCCACACAGCAGCATTCTTTTTTTATTTTTCCTTGTGATGAGAACTCTTAGGATTTACTTAACTCTCTTAACAGTTTTCATATATATCATGCAGCAGTGGCATCATGCTGTGCATTACATCCTTAGTACTTATTTATTTTGTAACTGGAAGTTTGTACCTTTTGACCATCCTCCTCTAGTCCCCCTCCCCTCCTAGCCACAAATCTGATCTCTATTATATATGGGTTGTTTTTATTGTTGGTTTTTGTTTTGTTTTTTTTTTAAGATTTCACATATAAGTGAGATCATAAAGTATGTGTCTTTAACTTATTTAGCATAGTGCTCTCAAGGTCCATTCATATTACTGCAAATGGCAGTATTTCCTTGTGGATGTTTTTTAAACCATTGTGTGTGGGGGGGGTTGTGTACACATACTTATACATACCACATTTTCTTTGTCCCTTTTTCCATCAGTGGATAGTTAGGTTTTTCCCATATTTTGGCTATTATAAATAATGTTGCTATGAACATGGGGGTACAGATATCTTTTCCAATTAGTATTTCTGTTTTCTTAGGCTATATTCCCAAGAGTGAAATTGCTGAATCATATGGTAGTTCTAGTTTTACTTTTTTGAGGATCCTTCATGCTGTTTTCCATAGTAGCTGTACCGGTTTACAATCCCACCAAGAGTGCTCAAGTATTCTCTTTTCTCTACATCTTCTCCAGCATTTGTTATCTTGTCTTTTTGATGATGGCCATTCTGATAGGCTTGAGGCATTATTTCATTGTGTTTTTGATTTGCATTTCCCTAATGTTGAGTATTTCTTCATGAACCTGTTGGCCATTCATGTATCTTCTTTGGAAAAGTGTCTGTTCAAGTCTTCTGCTCATTTTTTAATTGGATTAATCGGGGTTTTGTTTTGGTTTTTGTTTGTTGTTGAGTTGTGTTCTTTATTTTGGATATTAGCCCCTTATCAGATAAATGATTTGCAAATATTTTCTCCCATTCCGTAGGTTGGCTTTTCACTTTGTTGACCGTTTCTTTTGTTGTGTAGAAGCTTTTTGATTTGATGTAGTCCCACTTGTTTATTTTTAATTTTATTAATTGTGCTTTGGGTGTTATATCCAAAAAAATCATTGCCAAGACCTGTGTCATGGAGCTTTTCCCCCATGTTTTCTTCTAGGAGTTTCATGTTTTCAGGTTTAAGAAATTTAAGTTAATTTATTTCGAGTTAATTTTTGTGAATGGTGCAAGAAAAGGATCTAATTTAATTCTTTTATGTGTGAATATCCAATTTTCCCAGCATTGTTTATTGAAGAGATTGTCTTTTCTCCTTTGGGTATACAGCAGCATTCTTGAAAATGAAATCTTCAAGGAGTTATGAATGAATCTTTAGGGACTGACAATGAATTTGGAGTTCTTAGAGAAATTATTTTAATGATTTGATTACTTGGACACTTCAGCTTTTGATGCATTAATTTATTTTGGGGGGGAAGGGAGGTGATTAGATTTATTTATTTATGTGTTTGTTTTTAATGGAGGTTCTGGGGATTGAACCCAGGACCTCGTTCATGCCAAGCACACACTCTACCACTGAGCTGAGTATACTCCCCCTTTTGATGCATTTAAGAAGCTAATAATTATTTCCCTGTTCAATCTTTGGTATCCTTGCTAGATGAGTGTTGTGTGTATCAAAACTAATGACCAATGATTGATTGCTTCATTGGTCCCTTACTCCCATAATAAAGTCTTTCATTCAACATACAGTTCCCAGTTGCCTACTTTGTGCCAGGCATTGTTCTGGGAGGTACAGTGGTAGATATGACAGATAAGGTCCCTGTTCTTAAGGGTAGATGGAGACAGACAACAAATAAATGAGCAAGAATTTCAAATAGTAATAAGTACAATAAAGAAAACATAATATTTTGATGTGACACGGTGACTTGGCTGGGGCCAGGAAGACACTAAGTACAATGGTCGAGGATGGCCTCTATGGAATTGCTGTCTCAGGGGAATCTTGAATGATAAGGAGCCAGCTGTTAAGATATAGGGGAGGCTAGTGGGGCCATGTCCTGTGAATGCTCACAGCGTGGCTTGTTGAAGGGGTGAAGGGAAGCTAGGGTCGTTAAACATAGAGATAGAAAATAAGGAGGTGTTAGGAAGTAAGACCAGAGAAGTGAAGCTGATCTGAGGTTCTTTTGTGCTGTGGACCCTTCTGGCTTCTAATAAAGTCTATGAACCTTTTCTCAGAACAGTCTTTTTGAATCCAATAAATAAAACACGTAGAGTTAAAAAGGCAACAAATTATATTGAAATACTCTTTTATCAAAATATAAAACAAATTCTTGAGAAATGTCCTTTTTATTAATGCATTAAATAACATGATCCGAGTGAAGTCTTACTTCTTTAGTTTTGAACTAATGAGTTTAGATGATAAAGTTATTTCCAAAAACTGTAATATGATATGAAAATATATCTGGAATTTTAATTGATGACAAAGACAGAAGTACTGGTAATACTACTGTGGTTTATTGCCTACATTAATAATGGAAGAAATGCTAGATTCCAGTTAAACGTTAGAACAAATAAAGCTGGGTTTTACTTCTGTGTTAATGTACTACCTTATATTCAAGATCTGTGGACCTTCATTTGACCAGGATAGATCATGTAGGGCTTTCTAGGTTGTGGTAACTAGTGGAAAATGGAGTTTATCCAAACCCAGTGATGCCCTCAGTTGATAAATGAATAAATAAAATGTGACATATCCATACAGTGGGATATTATTTGTCAGTCAAAAGTAATGAACTACTGATGCATGGTACAATATGGGTGAACCTTGAAAACATTATGCTAAGTGAAAAAAGGCAGTCACAATATAATATGATCCATTTATATGAAATGTCCAGAGTAGGCAAATCTATAGATAAAGAAAGTGCATTAGTAGTTACCTAGAGTTGGAGGTGTGGCGAGGTTGGAGGGAAGTGGTAAATTACTGCTAATGGATACAGGGTTCCTTGTTTCTTTTGGGGGCTGTGGCAGAGTATAAAAATTGAATGTGGTGATAGTTGCACAAATCTGTGAATATACTAAAAACCATTGAATTGTACACTTTAAAATGGAGAATTAAACGTTTGGTATATGAATTATATCTCAGAGCTGTTATTTTTAACTAAAACCATAACCAATTAAAAAAAAAACAGTTGAAAATTTGCAACAAGGGCTCAGTGCAAATTACAGGCAGGGGAAGGAATTCGAGATGCTAGCTTGCAAGATCGGGAGCAGGTGAGCACAGAAGGGACCTTAACTTTGAGAAGAGCTGTAGCAAGGTGGGCCTGTGTGCCTGAGGGGCTGGAGCTTATGTTGAGGATGATAGGTTCTGAAGTTTATACAGGTCTTTCTGTCATAATACTGCTTGTGTTTTCTCAGAAAACTTTACCTTCTCCAAAGTCATGTGGTAGAAAACAGAACTTGCAGAAAAAACAGAGTTAAGAGAGACCTCAAAATACATGAAAAATTTTAAATAGTTACTAACAAAAGCATTAACTAACTTTAATAAAAACAGCAGCCTACATAAATCTTCATCGCGTTTGTACCCACCCCAGTATCAGGTGTCTCTTTGCAGCCTTAAAGTCTGGGGCTCTTGTTTCCTCATTTGAAATGTCCTTCGCTGGCATTTGCTTCTAATAAAGATCAGTTTCAACAAAGTTAAAAATCTGAACCAGGGTATATAGAATTCAGTAAATAAATTTTTTTTAAACATTGGCAAATCTTTCTGTATCCTTCATCTATACTCAGCCTTTCCACATTATCTTAACTTAGTACAAAGTATAGTGGCCATTAAGCCAGCCACTCTGAGGTCTTCTATATTGCTATGCTTACTCTTTAATTGTGTGAAAGCTTGCCTCTGAACGCTTCAAAACATTAATGGCCTGGGGGGAAAAAATCATTCGTGCAGCAATGCCACCATCATGTTT